AGCACATTGGGAGGCCGCCCATTCCAGCCGCACGCCCCGGTTCCTGAGCTGGTGGCTGCCGCGTACCACCCGCGCTTGAACGAGGCAGGCCGGACTGGGATGAGCTCCTGGCTGGCGGGGAACCGCCGCGGGAGCCTGCCGAGCGCGACCATGGTGAAACCTTGCGAGGCTGGCAGAGCTGCGGCTGCTTGTTTGGACAAACGAGCCTTTACTCCGACCTTGATCCGGCCTCATGCGCCCTGATGCTGTCCCAAGCCGGCCCCGGTGGCTCGCTCGCCAACTCGGTGCTTCCCACGGCACCCGAGTTCCGGCTGCCAAGCTCGCACATGCGGGTGCTTTTGTTGCGGCGTCTCCGCCAGCCAGCCCCTGCCAGTCGCGCCTCGCACGTGCAGGTGCGGTGGTGCTCTAGACCCACTGGGCGATCACCGAGCAGCCTGCCCCACAGCCGGAAGACCACGTCTCACGGGCCGCCATGTTCGAAGGCCTGCGCCTGGACAACCGCCTCACGGGACTGATTCCTTTCGTGCGCCCATTCTACGGCCATGAAAGCTCGTACCTTTTTTACGACGCTTCCGGCCGGGCGCACAATGTCCTCCAGGCCGAAGGTGGGGAACAGGGCAACCCGCTCATGCCGGGGATGTTTGCAATAACCATTCACCCGGCTCTCGTGGCTACGCAGACCGAGCTGCGTGGCGGCGAACGCCTCTATGCGCTCTTAGATGACGCATACTTGACATGCGACCCCGAGCACGTCCGCGCAACCTTCCTGGCCTTGCGACAGGCACTCAAGAACACCAAAAGAGGCCGATCCACGGGTTTGGTTTTAGGAGCCAAAAGCACACCTCCAACTACAAACAAAACAAAGAAAAAACAACAGAAGCCAAGATACACCCGTCTAAAATTAGAGAAGGAAATCAAAATAGACAGGGACGGGGATCTCAACTCAGGAGCGCAGGGAGCGAAAAGGGTGCTTGCAGTCGAAGGCATCTCGGTCCACGAGAAGAAGGCATGCTATCAGGTACACTCAGGCATGGTGCAGCAGGCCATCAGCAAGTCAGGCAACTTGTTAGGCAAGAAGCAACATGGTGATCCGCAGTACCGTTCAACTTTTTTGCTTCTTGCCAGAAGTCAAGCTCAGAAGAGCTCTCGTGCTTTGCGGAGCCGACCAGCTGCTGCAATCCTTGCAAGCACGTCCAAAACATCTGGCAAAAGACTGCCCACTGAAGAAATGGTCTCGGGAGAGGCCAAGAGAAGTGCTGGTGGAAACATCTGCCGGCGAGCCTTGCAACCGATGAAGAAGTGATTCAGTTCCTCTGGGGTGACAAGTCCACAGACGTTGTCATCATCGGTGAGGAAGCGGTGCAGCTTCAACTGTAACCAAGCTTGAGCATCGGGAATGGAAATACCATTTCCAGCTACGCTTGCCAGGGTCCAGCAACAGTGATTCCAGCCTTGCCAATGTTGTTGTTGCTTAGGCAGGTCACTGCAAGCAGTGGCTTCATGTGTGCGAAATGCAGGAATGACCATCTTTTTGTGCGAATTGGCGAAGGTGGTAAGCTCGTTGACCAGTTAAGGAATCATGCCACGGTACGCGAGGTAAAGAAAGCCCCACCAACTCACATTTACGTGACACAGCTGCTGACGTTCTTCTTCTGCAACATTGAAAACACATCGCTCCTGCTCATACCTGGTATCCACAGCTGAGGCCAAAATTTGGAAGACCCAAACAAGCTTCAACGCCTAGTTGAGCACGCTTGGGCCACACGGGATGGTCAATTGGTCTGTCGTGCACTCGACTGGGCAAAGGCGGTAGGGGGGCACGGGCTGTCGTGGAGTAGAAATGCAGATTCCTGCTCTCCTGGACGCAAGGCCAAGAGCACGAATTTGGCGGGTTTTGGGTGGGGAGGAGGGGGCGGGGGGGGGAAGGGGTTGGGGGAAGGTGGCGAGGGCTGCCGTGCAGGTCACGAAACTCGATCTCTCGCCTCAGCAGCCTTTGCCGAGGCGGTCTCGCATATTTAAAAGTAAAATTCACCAACTCGTATTAAGCTGCGCCACACTTCACAAGTTTTCTCCAAGACTGGAGAGCTCCCAAGTTGCCCAGCGTTCTTGCTGGGCCTCTCCGAAGGCAAGTTTTGAGCGCCATCCCCTCACCCAAACAAACAAACTGGCGTAGCATGGAATTGAAACCGCAAAATACATACATGTCTTTGACTGCAATACTACGATGACAAACAACTATGCAACTCACCGCCATTTCCCAGCTTGGCAGAACAACAGAAACTGCGATTGTACGACATTTGATCTTCGCGCAGGCACCCATTGCATGCGCCAATCAGTCATCAAAACGAGCCGTTCACGAATCGTCGCTAACTCAAGTTACGGCGCTTGACGCCAACCTCTGTCGATCGAATACAGACGTCCCACTGCATTTCATCAACGGCGGGCCCCAGCAAACGACCAGCAACCCTGCACACTTTAAAGTTCCGAAACATGAAGCTTCTCCTAGTCGATCCAAACACCATCTCTTGCTCATGAAATTTTGAACCAGCATGAGCAAGGGTGACTTTTTTCGTTGACCGCAAGGCAGAGGGGCTTTGGGCATGGAAATGTGGCTGTGGTTTACTCTCACTTCTTCCATTTGTCGCTTGCAGGGGAAAGAACCTGTCTTGTCTTGTACAACCCTCTGGCCCGCGTTGCCGGACGAGAGTCTAGGAATCAACCTTACACTATAGATGAGAGATTAGCATTGCTTCGTCGCCAAATATTTCCACAAGCAGCTCCCGTGTGTCTTGCCTCTCCAAGTTGCAAGAACTCCGCGAAAAGGAGCCTGTCAACTGCAATACGCCCAGGCTACATCTCTCCTTGTAACATCATTAAGAAAAGGCAATATGAAGTTTGTTTCAGGCCTGAGAAGTGCAACAGCCACAACGCTTGCGGCAATCCATCCGCAAACGCGTGGGCGCACCTGCGTCAATCTACATTGGATTCTGCATCGTTCTTGTCTGCACTGTGTAAAGCCAGGACCAATACCTACCTGCCCACCTTTGCTGGCTGCCAAGTTTGTCCTTCCCCCGGTGTGACTTTGGATGAGGTGCCTTCTGTGGAATGGCCATCACCCAAGTTGCAGCACCATGGCATCACACAGGGATCCTGATTTGCACTGCCTGTACGTGTCGTTCCGGAATCACGGCATATCATGGCATGGTCTGGCGTGTGGCTGCGATGGTGCGAACATCTGCAATGACAATGCTTCACATGCAGAGGCGACCCTTCGGGTCACAACCTACAGGCCTTCACGCAGGCCGCTACTCATGGGCTGCGCAGAACAACATCTGAAACAAAGCGAAGAAGCACAGATCAACTCCGAACTCATGAAAAATTCTCCGCCCTGGACCCCCTGTTGCATCCTGTCAATTGATCGGAGCTGGGCTCGGGGGCAGCGAAAAACTTCAACATTCCACTTTTCAATGGGACAACTACAGCAATAGCTTGATGAAACAAGTGTACAGCTTGTCACAAACTTTCCCTAGCTGCACGTACTGCTGCAGGTACTGACCAAAGCACCACATCTTCCCTCTATTGCTGTGTTTACTTGAGACAAATGGTTCATGTGCCTGCAAAGGATTAATTGATTCAGAAGTATCTGACAGAGCAAGAACGCGGAGGCAATGATTTTCCACAGCTCCTTGGCATGCTGGGCATCACGGCAGGTCAGATGCAGACCTTCGCACCATCTTGGCAAAGACGCCTGCAAGGCAAGCTGGGGTCAACAAAAAACATCGTTTCTGAGGATGCGAAATAGAGGTGCAACGTGCAAATCTTGAGTTGCAAGCTTCAAAGATCATGGTGTTTTTGCTCTTTTTAACATTCCTTCATTTAAATCCGTGTCAGCATGGGCCTGCGGCTGCCAGCAGCTGCCAGCAGCAGGCCATAGCTTTACTTTCTATGGCTAAAGCATGCAGGTTTGCAGGTAGCCATAGATCTGTCTTTTGACATCCATGCCTTTGCTGAGAGCCAACATCATGCATCACAAATGCTCTCCAGGATTGATTATGGCTTGTTTTCTCGGAGTAAACACCAAAGCTTCACACACCGCAACGCATTTTGCCTAACCCGCATTGAGCGGACGGCTGTGCAAGGTGCAACACCGGAATATCACGCTCATCAGACTGCCTGCGCAGCATGAAGAACAGCGTCTCGATTCGCTCGCACAACTGTCCCCCCATTAAAAAAAAATGCAGAAGCATCGTGAGGGTACCATGCGGCAAGGCCTTGATGCTCTGCTGCGGCGCAATGTTCAGCGAGGTGTTGCAGAATTCTGCTCGCCTTTGTTGCCAACAAAGAGGACGAGCTCACATTCTGAATTTGCAGAGCTTCTCAACATCAAAAGCGTCCAGGCCACCTTGCGAGCCTTGGATGCTCAGCGCACACCCTCTAACGACTGCAATTCTAAGTCACAGTTCCCGAGAGTGCAGAAGCAGCAACCTCTCTGGTCAGAGCTGTCTTCATTAACTGTGCCTGGCATCTTGGCATCTTGGCATCTCAGAATTGCCCATACCGTGGCTAAAACTGCTTCCCAGCTTCCCAGCCTGGAGGGGCCGGGGCCGGAAACTGAAGCGGCAAATGCTTTGGAACAGGCATCGCAAGCCTGACAGCTCAGATAGCTCAGCAATGCTCCGCACACTTGTCACCTCTCGAACAGACTTTAGCTGTTCACTACCAAGAAGCTGCGATCCCGGTCTCATTGCTTCCACGGAAGGTGCCACAAGGGGCACCTGTGGTCGGTCCATCGGAGGGATTGCAGGTGGCAAGGAAGGCGCCACAACAGGAACCTGCAGTCCATCTGCAGCTGGACGCATTGGCGGTGGTGCAGGCTTCGGCAGGCTCGTCCGTGGAACCTGCAGTGCGGTAGTAGACAGCAGCGTTCAATTTGCAATTCTTAGATGCAAGTAGAGACATTGCAAGGCATGAAGCACCAAAACCAATGTGCTAAAACTCAGCTAACAGACAGGAGGAGCCATCGCCGTACTTCGGAGGCTGGATACCTGGTTTAAGTCGTGTGGATCACTGTTTGTCGTGTCGGTTGGTCTGCTTGGCCTGGGAGGTGGCAGTGGCAGGCTGCCGCTCTGGTGCCGCTGAGGTGGGGGTGGAGGTGGGGGCGGCGACTTCGCCTGCAGCGGGCTGGCAGGAAGCAAGGCAAAATCACTTGCCCAGTCCGAGAAGGCCTGGTCCACGCGTACCTCGATGCGCTCTGCATTCTCTACTGCTGGGGGAGGAGGCAAAGACACAGCAAGCGTTCTCTTGTCTCGAGAAAATGGAGGTGGATTGGGGGGCGGGCGCGGTGCCACGGCAGCCGCACTGCGCTTCGGTGGGGGTGGAGGGGGACTGGTTGCGCTGCTAGGCGAGTCATCAATCATGTGAGGCATTGATCCAACAATGTCTCGAAGCTCCTTGGCGAAGCTCTGAAAGTATTCCTCTTTCTCTTCTGACCTCTTTGTGAGAAGCGGGCGCGGAATGGCAGGCCCGCTGCTGCCCATGGCTTGTCCTAGCCCAAAGGATTTGCCTCTGGGAAGCTCTGATTCAGCTGACTGGGCCACGTCCTTTGCCCAATCCCAAAAATGCTCTTTGGCATCCTCTTTGGCATGTTTCACCTCCGTCTCGGTGGGAGGAGCTGGCTCCTCTGGTTTGCCTTCCCATGCAGCCTTTGGCTCAGCCATCTTCTCAAAAGGCGCAATAGCAATGCGGGCAGAAGTCTTCACAGAATCCGCCATTCGCTTGCAAGTAGCCTTCGCATCAGGAACATTCACCTTGACATTGCCAGCATGTGCCTGCCAAGCACAAAGGCCGATCACGGCAATCACCGCAATCGAGGCAACTGCAGTTCCCACCATCATGCCCCAATCCGAGTCCACCGGATCAGAAATTCTGGGACTGGTGAATACTGTGGATGTTGTCCGAGTCTCCGTGTGTGTCGAGCTAGTTGTCGTTGGCGCCAATGGGACGGGCAAGTAGATTCCCACGTACGCGCCACCCGCCGTGGTCGTCTCGCAGGTGATGGAGGCGGCTCCGTAGCTGCTAGGCAAAATCCAACTCATCACATCTGTTGACCAGTCCGGATCCTGCATTCAGAGCAGTTCAGTGTTGCTCATGGAACCACTAACTGTACTAGTGTTTAGGCTAGCTGCCCCTCGCCTGCTCCGAGGTGCTGAGGCGTGCGCAAACCGGTTCGTATGCATAGCCTTTTGGTGCAGGAACCAGTGGCAGAGGAGGCCTGAGCAGCGGAGTACAGCGGAGTACAGTACAAAAAGTACACAAGTCAGACAAGCTTCTAAAAGCCTGGATGTGCCTGGTCCCACAAGACTGGACTCAGGACTTTAAACTCCAAGCCAGGTTGCAGGGGCAGGGTGAGCGCAACAGGAGGGTTCAGATCCTGCCTTGGCCATCTGTGTTTCCAAACTGCCAAGATCAAAGTGTTGAAATAAGAAGCCGTCCACAGAATTGCAAGACAGAATCTAAAAGCTCTCAAGCTGCCGCACAACGATGTTGTCGCATGATTTGATCTCCAGCACTTTGACTGTTGCATTTGCGAGAACATATCTGTTGATGCCAATGCCTTAGATGCTCATCATCCTGCTCACCTATTTCATCACTCCATCCTCATAACATAGACTCTCTCAACCCTTCAATTCTTGCGAGTGTCTGGCGTTGAGGTAACTGTACGGATTGCCTCGGCATTGCACAGTGTGAGCTTGAACTCACATGCGTCAGTAGAATATCAAGTTGCCCAGTTGCTGAGGACCCAGTCTGTCTGTTGCACGGCCATGGTGTCGCATCCACCACTACTTTGCAAACGGCGGCCCGCAAAGTTGCTAATCGCAGCACCAGGGATCTGCACCAGCAATGCAGGGTCACAAAACTCACTTGTCAGAAAAGCCTCAAGAACCCCAAGCCTGCAAGCCCTCAGCAGAGACGCCATTGGCCTGTGCTTCAGCAACGCTCTCCTTCTGCACTTGGATTTCCTGAAGCGGTATAGAGGGGAAAGGAGCGCGTGTAGGCATCTAAGCTTTTGATCCGAGCTACAAGGCCCTTGCCCGTGTCATCCACAGAGCTCAGCGCAGTGGAGCCACCCACAGGCGTCGATGCCAGGGCTGCACTGCCCAATTGCGATGTCTGCAGGGTGCTCTTGCACTGATACCACGGCGCATCAATGCTAACATTACAGAAAGATTCTGGTGGAAGATTTGCAGCTGAGGGTCCATGTCGGCAAGCTGCGCAGCACGCACTCCACCAGAAGTCTCATCCATTTGTGAAGAAGCTGCAGCGTAGCTGTCACCAACCGCTGCGATACTGCCAAGCAGAGCACTGCCGGCTGCGGCGTCCACACCTGTCATGGGGCCGAGCAGTGCACGCTTTGGGGAACACTTGGAGGAAAGGTAGACGCGCTTTCTGAACGGTTTGCCTTCGGAGTTGATAGCTGCCTCAGGCCGACAGAACTTGTAAGACTTGGCTCGATGCACCAACTTGGGGCACATGGTGAGATGCTTTGTCAAACGTAGTGCCCTCAGATTCTTTGGCCCTGCTACACACATCGGGAGCAGCAAAGGGACTAATTCAAACCATGCAAAAGACCCTGAGCTGCTCATGGTACCCTTTTGAGGCCTGAGATACAACTCCACCCGATTGCTGCCATATGCCGTTTATCGTTGCTCGGAATTGATGCCTGTATCGTAGAGGGTATAGATACAACAAACTAGCAACAGTTCAATCACCTTTCCATTGGCAAGTCCAGCCATGCGAGGCCGTCCATTGCCGGCCAATTGCGGCCATGATGTGACATGGTCTCACTCATGGCTTTCCCGCTGACCTCTAAATGAGCCGCTCTTGCCGCAGAGAAAGGCCTCAAGCCGCCCACAGCCGAGTAACTCAACACATGATTTCCATGGCCAGCATGGAATCATCGGCTTGACTTGAAATGGATGAGTGTATGTGCAACCATTAACATTCATCGAATTTCTGATTGCCCTTTTTTTTGACCTTGCAGGTCTTTCTGGCTGCCAAGCTGCCTGCAGGACACCGCTCAGGGCCTCTGAGGCTTTCGCGGCAGCCTCCACGTTTGCGACGCCAGTCTCGGATGAAGCCCCGCTTTGAAGAACCTCTGTCAGCACACCTCCAAATCTCTGCAAGCCTCAGCGCACATTGGCAAACAAGTGGGCGCAGGCTTCCGGAATCAGAGGCTAGCACTTCCGGCATCCGTGTCAACTACAGCAGAAGCTGCCTTGAGCGCCTGTTTGCTGCGACATTACTTGCAGGCTGTTTGTACGAGAGTGCGAGCAGAACTTGGCCTCCAGTTGCTGATCTTGTGCCTGTGTTTTCGCTTCGTCCGCGTCCGAGCCATTTGAAGCCTCAAGACACAACATCCCCGCTGCATGGGACTCTACTGCTCCTCAAAGCTAAAGGAATGGGATTGAAAAACAATCCGGACACTTTGTTTTTGGTGTGTTCTGCCAGGAGCTTTGACCAAAACGCGAGGACACTCCACGCGCGAGCCCCACTTTGAGATAAAAATTTCAGGATGTTCCATGCCAAAGCTCAAACGTGCGAAAACTTCACGCGAGATTTGAGGACGCTCCATGGGAAAGCTCAATATGACGTCACAATGTGAGAGGGCTCCACACGATCACTCCGAAGCGCGAGTACGTTCCACGCAAGAGCTGATTTTTTTGTGGAACTCCAAACCTTAGAAACCCTAAAAAATACAGCCCTAAACCTTAAACCTTGACAATAATTGCAATGATGTGGACCAGGTGGTTTGCGGCTTAGGGCTTAAGAATCTGAAGGCATCTGGGCTACTGGGGTTGTTCCCTCAGAATCTCCACATGAGAGCTCAAGCTGTGATGAGGCTCCCTGCAAAAGCTGTAAAGAAACTAATGATAAAAGAATAGAGACAAAATTACTCGTTGCAATGATAATCAAATGTAATCAAAGGCATGATAATTACGTATACCAATAAACGTGAGAACCGTAGTTACCACCAATCTGATCAGTAAGCCACATGCTCAATGATGGTACCAACAAATGATGCTATTAATAAATCATGGTATTAACAACAGTAAGATGAGAAAACCTCCTTCACGAGAATGGAATCGGAACGATAAAGGGGGTGATGTTAGTTGTAGTTAGCAAAAAGTAATGACAACAATTGAAATTTGAATGGCTCATCACGCTTTTGTGACAAGTACTAAGTACTACATACATGACAAGACTGGTTTGTCATGTATTTCATCGCTATTTTTTCACAGGTATCACTAACAGTGTCAGTGGGCGGTCTACTACTACTACTACTACTACTGCTACTACTACTGCTACTACTACTGCTACTACTACTGCTACTACTACGACGACGACTACTACTACTACTACTACTACGACCCCTACGAATACTAGCACTACTACTACTACTCCTCCTCCTCCTCCTCCTCCTCCTCCTTCTCCTCCTCTCCTGCTTACTTTCATGAACATGATCATCTGTATCACCGGCTTTGTGAATATGAATTTTCCTATGAATTTTGCTATACTCTTCCCATCATCACCAACGTGACCAAAACAACCGAAGTAATACTGTGATAGGAGTAGCAGTAATACTGGAAACAACAAAAAGTAGGAGCAATGCCGGCAACGGCAGCGTCCTCTGTAATTATGGAAGTAATGCTAGCAGAAAAGTAGCACCACTTGGAAAAAGATGACCTTGATAAAAGTTGACTGCACCGGTCCGAACATGAAGTCATAGAGGTCAATCCGAGTAACAGCAGTACTTTTGTAGTAGTAGGAATAGAAAAATGACACCTGTATTATGCAGAATAAGAACAGTAAGGATAATCGGCAAGAAGCGGGATCGGGACCACAGCATTCTAGTACTTTTCTGGCAGCTACGGTTGATATAAATTGATAGATAACGAAGGCATACCCGTGTGTCAGGAAGAGCTTTGGGTAACAATTGTAAACCCACAGACGCCCAAAAAAAACGCGCAAACTAAAAAGAAAAGCGGGACCTTCACTGCTCCTAGAAGGCACACACACAATCTCTCTTTTCGCTTGGCCAAAAACCATCAATCCTGGGAGGACATGATGGTTTGGGGTTCACTCCTGGATCAAGAGGGAATGAAAAAACAAAATAATTCCTGGGAAATAACAATTGGGTTTTCGTCTTAACAACCAGCTTTTTCACAGGAGCCCAGGATTGCAGTGCGTTCGCTGGGACTTTGAAGCACATTTAGCAAGGAGCCTATACGGAAAAATTAGGAGCCGAAGATTCGAAGCACCTCTAGTTTGAAATTATATAGAGAAAACCCTTGGAGTCCAGAAAGTGAAGCACATTCAAAACAACTCTTATATGGAGAAAAAAATCAGGAGCCCAGTATTACAGAATTCCTTGAACCAATCCGAGCCAAGTTACTGAAGGAATAGGATGGAGAAACTCAGGAGCGCAGGATTTCGACATTCTGAATCGAAGCCAATTCAACGCGGAATTGCTGCTACAAAAACAGGAACCCAGAATTCAGGAGCCCGTATGAGTATTGCCTAATGAATCAAGCCAACTTAATCAAGGATGTATATGGAGAAAATCAGGAGCCAAGGATCTGAGAATTCCTGTCATAAATCAATGTAGATGTATATGGTAGTTTCCCTAAATTACTTTTCCCAAAATGGGGGAAAATTATATAGGGCCCCGTATTATAATGGGAACCCAAATATAGGACCCCGTATTATAGGGAATTTAGACCAATACCCAAATGGAGAGAACCAAACGCCGAGGATTTGAGAATTCCTGTACTAAGCCGATGCTGATCAAATGAGAAACTTATCTTAACGAAAATGAGCAGGAGCCCGGGATGTCATTCCTTGACTTAAATCCAGACCAGTGTACTAAAGGATCTAAAAAGAGAAAATCAGGAACCCACCAGCATTTGAGAGTTCCTGGAATTAATTGAGAACTATCAAAAATATTAAAATCATCTAAATGAAAATGAGGGGCCCGGAATTCGAGAATTCTGCTCATAAATCGAAACATGTGTAGAATTCAGTACGCGGCTTACATGAGAAAACCAGGAAGAGTTTTCCCTGGAATCTTGGAACCTGGATTTGGATCTTGGAGCGTAGCGAAAATACGGCAAATACTGAAATTTCAGAACGCCGTAGGATCCAAAATCCAAGATTCCTAGGAAAACCTTTCTCAGGAATCTTGAATCTTGGATCCGGGTGCGCACTGAAAGAACACTTTTCTCAGATTGTTTAACATACATATCTATCTATATGTATATATCATGTCATACAGTAGAAATACATATATCATGTACAAAATAATGAGAAAATATTGGTTCAAGGGGTTGTGTAATGTATGTATATTTACTCTCCGGATGTGGCCGGCCCCCTCCCCACTCATGGTTTTTCCCTCATCCTGCAGCGCGGCAGTTAGCAAAATTGAAAATTCCCCCCTTCCCCTCTGATTTGTTTGGGGGTTTGGAGTTCGGGATGTCTTCTAGGCTCTACGTTAGATGAAACTATTACGCCCCGTGGTCCTGCAGCCCTTGGTCGGGGTCTTGCGCTTTAAACTGAAGTTTCTTGAAAGCTTATAGTGGCTTAAAAGGTTTATAGAGGGCTTACAACCCATTACCCCACCCCGCCCCCGTGACTCGGTAACCTGTGGTCTGGGTCTTGTGATTGACATTGAGTCTACGGAGATTTTTAGAGGGCTTATAACAGTTTCCGGAGGATTTCTAACAGCTCATAGAAGATTCCATGAAGGTTTACAAAGGGCTATTGTTTCATAGAAGGATATCGAGGATGCAACAACAATATGGAAGCTGCTAAAGGTGCCAAACAAAAACGACGACAGTTGCGAGGGTGGCGACCCCGAGAAGCCCCATCCCTGTGCCAGCTGACACTGTAGAAGCTCATGGGGAGGGCGGGGGGAGGCGGCGGGGTGGATACCATTTGGGGGGAGGGCCGGAGGGGGTTGCAAACCGAGAACCAGAGTCGTATGAGAAATGTCAACATCGGTGTTGCAGCTAATATTGACCTATCTGTTTATGTCAGTACAAATAGTGGTTTTGATGAGGAATGAAAATGGATCTTACGTCTTGATTTGAAGACGATAACGAATATAATCACAAGGGCAAGCTCAAGCAACTTATTAATGCAGCTTCCATGTTACCTTTCACCAGTAGATCTTCCCGTTGGATGTGAGGTCCACCATACCCAGACTCTGACGAAGGAAGGAAGATTTTTTGGAGGTGCATTTTATGTGGTGCTCGGAGCACCTATGCAGCGCTCGTTCAGGGATGCGAGCGATCGCTAGTACAGACCTGCACACGCAGGTAGCTCACACGCTTGCCACATTGAGATGTCTCATGTGAAGTAGTATTGCGATTCATGCTATTATTCTTCAAAATAGCCTTAGGACTAATCTTCGTAATAGTAGTACTGGACGTAATGCTGGCATTTGCATTGGCATTCGTATTCGCATCAATATCAGGATGAGTGCTAAAATGTGTTTTACCACGAACATTTAGACTGCTACAGTGATAGTATTGGCCCTAACACGACTATTAGTAGCAGACTAGGTCCAGGCTTAATATTCGTACCTGTATTGATGGTCAACATCAGGAGTACCATTCTTATTGGCATTGGCAATTGCAAAGCAAGTGGAAGTTGTTCTGGCATCAAAACAAATATTCATTTCAATATTGAAAATAGCAGTGTGTTAAAAAAACAGCCTCCCCTCCACTTGCAAAACTGGACAAAAATAGCAATACACAGTTTCTTGCTGAGTCTTGGTTGAGATACGCCGCCCGATGCTTGCGTTCTAAAAACTGTGGCGGGGTTGAGGGGGCAGGGCCCCTATCTGCAAAACATAGACGAGGATGAGAGCGCCATAGTTTTTTACTGAATCTTGATCGAATTCGCCGAGCATTGTGTTTATATTTACAAAGCAAATGGGTCGACGTGTAAAGCGTTGACACACCAGGCAACACATAGCTGCTTGCTTGCAACAAATTGATGGTGATTGGTACTGTGATACTCGTTGTACGGGTGAAGACAAGAAGCCAAGAGGTCAGGAAGCCAAAGAGTTAGAAAAGCCAAGAGGGCAAGAAGCCCCTCGAGAAGCCAAGAAGCGGGGAAGTCAAGAAGCAACGAAACCAAGAAGCTGGAGAAGCCGCGAAGCCAAAAAGCTGAGAAGCCAGGACGCCAAGTAGTTGAACCAGACAGGTCATGAAACCATGTAGACGAGAACACCATGCATAAAAAGAGGAGTCCCAAACCCCCGAAACGAAAAAACACCCAAAAAAGAAGCAGAAACTACCTAAATTACCTGAAGACATGGGATTCTGAATGAAGCTCCCCTTTGAGCGTCCGACAATCGGCACCGAAACGAGCGCATCCAGCATGCCCAAGATCACGCTCGAGTCATTACTGGCCAGAGCATTATCAAGGGCTGCAGACGTCTCTTCCAGCGTCAAGCCACCTGGAGGCAATTCTGAAACCATAGCTCAGTTGACTGCACTTCCCCACAACTCCTCCTACAACTCACCACCTCCTACCTTGTGGAACTTCCACGACTGGTCCCGCTGCGAACGCGGCAGCAATAGCTCCTCTCCGGCGTCATCCCACAACCCGCACAACATGACACCTGCAAAAATCACAGCCTTTCCTAGCGGATCCCTGGCAACCACCGCCGTGAAGTAGTTGCCAGCAGCCATCTGCACAAATACAAACTCTTGTTTCTCACTCTTTCCCTTGTATCTACACCCTTCTCTCCCAGCCACAGCAGCCCTCAACCTGCAATGCAACACACCTGTAGCACTACCTGTAGGATATTCATAGTGCGGACATGGACGGTCCAGTGCTGCCAGGCTGCTGACACCTGCCAGCTCGTAGTAGGATCTGAAATATTTATCTGGAAAGTACCACCCAGCTTGGACCAGTGGATAGGGCTGGTGCTGTCCCTCCACTCCTGACAGGATTGGTTGGAGGTTTATTATGTGCCTTGCCAGACGATTGAACGGCTTTCCGTGCAGCCACGGCACAACCTCAGGAGGCACGAACCCTCCATCGACCACGATTCCTGCACGCTTTGAACTTCTCAGGACAGGAAGCGAACAAGCTTCTGTGCCAGGCTACGTCCTCCGGAGCCGTCTGAAGCCGCGGATACGTTCCTCAACTTGCCAATATTTAAGTCCATTGTCAGCAATCTCAAATGCAGCAGCCATCATGTTGAATGTCATCTGAGTCTCTGCTGGAGCGGGAACGTGTAGAATGCATAAGTAAGACTTCCAAGCTCCTCGTCCACCCAGCCGGTGGTTGTAGCCGAAAAGCCAGTTGTGACTGCTGTTCCAAATAGCGGATTTGATGTCACAGTTCCGGGCAAAGGGGGTGCATCTGCGATGAACCTGACCCATACGCCACTAGTTCCAGTCTGAGGCATTGCGCTGCTTTGTGGTTGTGACGGCGACAGCACTGCTGCTAAGAGGCCGAGGTGAGAGCGCAAGCTGGACACCCTGACTCTCTGCCAGCTCCAAGTTTGCTGGAGGTTGAGCCTGAAATTCATCCATCTGCTCCTCAGTACACGAATTTTGCTTGCTTAGCACGTGTCAGACGAACTTCAGCTGTCCCAGACACTGGCGTGGGAAGTTGAAGAAGCGCTATGTCGTAAGCCCTGCCTGCAGGTTACACTTACACAATGGGATACTAAGCGGTACATGTGCTGCGTTTGCTGAAAAGCTTTGCCTTTGACCATGTCGCTACCACGAAAGTCCGAGGACAGCAGGGTCAGCTCGCCGCCGCTGGGCTGCAGGCTCGTCTGCAGGATCCCCACGATCTTCGCCGGAGGCAATGCTTCCTTAGACCACGATTCATTGTACGGCTTTCAGAACGCAAAGTCATCATGCTGTCACGCGGCCACTAAAGCTAGCCTCCAGCCACACGACTCTGGCGGGTCACAGCCTGAACAGGGGATTTGCCATGAAGAACATCTCGAACAAAGTCTTCTGCAGCCTTCGATGCCCGACACGGTTGCAGAGTAGCCGCCCAGCTCCCCGCCCACTTGAGTGGAGACCGCCTGCCACTCTTCTGAGATTGGCCTTTTGATATGTTCTGCATGCATCCGCTGCACATCCTTAAAATGGATATCCCTGAACCTGCAGATCCCTCCAGGGAACGGCGAAATCCACGCGGGGGAGTGTTGGTGTTGCCTGATGCATGGCACTGATGCTACCAGCAAATGAGGCCATACGAGGCTGGCTAGCACCTTAAGGTGTCTGGGAAGCAAATCCCACGCACACGAAAAGCTCGGTCAGCTAAGCTGCTGTCGAACTCGTTGTCGTAGCTGTCCTGAGCCCACTGTGGATGCGACATGGTGGATTGTAGGTGTATGCTGCTCTGCAAGTAAATTCGGTCAAGCCCACAGTTTGGGTTGACCCACCCACAAAAGGCTAGCCGCTAGCCACAGTTAGCTGAACAACCGCGGTCTCACAAACCCAGCCACAAGGTTCTGTTCTGCAAGTGCTTGACGTAGGGCTCTGGGCTGAACCGCCAATGATGTGTACACTCGATCATGCATTTGGACAGCTAGGCTTTTTTGTCGCCCATGACCCATGCTTGAAAGCAAGTTCATCTAAAGTATGAGAGATGTTGCAATCTGACCGGGCAAACACTGCCAGGAGACGTGCCGGTGCTCGACGTGGTCGTTCGAGAGGTGCTTGTGCTAGTCATGGTGGATGTTGTTGTCAATGTTACGGTAGTGGAGCTTGTGCCTCGAATGGACCGAAATAAGCCCAACCAGAGAAGATGTAGAACAACAGCAGCTGACACTTTACTATCGCAAACTCCCAAGGTCTGAAATCGAACCGGGCTCACCTTTGGGCTTTAGCCTTTTGAACTACAGGCTAGAACCAACTGAAAAACGATTCCGCTTCCATTCATGGTGCTTGAGGAGCTGACCGTGGAAGACGATGATGTAGAAGTGGATGAAGACGTGGTGGTGCTCGTTGTTGATGAAGAGCTTGAGCTCGTGGAACTGCTGGTGGTGGAGGTGGTTGTCGTACTCGTGGATGACGTGGTAGAGGACGTCGTGCTTGTTGAACTTGTGGAGGACATGGTGGACGTGGTGGATGTCGATGATGTGAGTGTTGTTGTCGTGCTGGATGTTGATGAAGTTGAACTCGACGTGCTGGTGGAAGACACGGTTGTAGATGTTGTGCTTGTGTATGATGTACTTGTAGAGCTGGTGCTGCTTGTGGTGGACGAAGTTACCGTGACCGTTGTGCTAGTGGAAGATGTCGAGCTGCTTGTGGAACTTGTGGTAGAAGTTGTAGAGGAGCTTGTAGTGGATGTTGTAGTGGAAGTTGATGAAGCTGTGGATGTTGTTGTTGACGTATGGGTTCTTGTAGTGCTGCTGGAGCTGGTAGAAGTTGTGCTGGAAGATGTGGAACTGGTGGAGCTGGAGCTGCTTGAGCTGGAGCTTGTTGTAGTACTACTGGTTGACGAGCTCGTTGTCGATGTGGTTGTGACAGTGGTGCTTGTTGTAGTGCTACTGCTGGAAGTTGAACTTGTGGTAGAAGTGCTCGAACTGCTACTGCTACTGCTCGTAGAAGATGTGCTGGTGGAACTGCTGCTTGTGGAGGATGTGGAGGTTGTGGATGAGCTGGTGCTTGATGTGCTAGTAGATGTCGTGCTTGTGGTTGTGGTGCTTGTTCTTGTGGTGGATGTTGAGGATGATGTTGTAGTAGTTGAAGAGGTGCTTGTTGTGGAGGATGTTGTACGAGTCGTGCTCGATGATGATGTGGATGAGCTGGAGCTGCTTGTAGAAGACGTGGAAGTGGACGATGTTGAGCTTGATGAGGTTGATGTAGAGGTGCTCGTTGTCGATGTAGTGCTAGTGCTGGAAGTTGAAGATGATGAGCTGGATGTAGAGGTGGATGACGAGGATGTCGATGTTGAGGATGTGCTGCTTGAAGATGTTGAGGTACTGCTGGTTGAGGAACTAGAAGACGATGTCGTGCTGGAACTCGTACTGCTTGAAGACGTCGAGGTGGATGATGTGGAAGACGTTGTGGTCGACGAGGATGATGTTGAACTGCTGCTAGTCGAAGAAGATGATGTGGATGTGCTACTGCTGCTAGTCGATGAAGTAGAAGTAGAGGAAGAGGACGTCGTGCTTGTACTTGTTGATGAACTGCTTGTGCTGGTTGTTGAGGTGGAGCTGGTAGACGTTGATGTGGTTGATGAGCTTGTAGATGAAGTGGATGTGCTGGTTGTAGAACTGGAGCTGCTGCTGGTAGATGAGCTCGACGTGGATGTCGTACTGCTACTGCTCGAAGAAGAGGATGTTGTTGATGACGATGTACTGCTGGACGAGGTTGACGTTGAGGATGTTGAAGTAGATGATGTTGACGAGGTACTCGTGCTTGTCGTTGACGTGCTTGTACTACTTGTCGAGGTGGAAGTTGTCGAGCTCGAGCTTGTCGACGTGGACGACGTTGATGAGGAAGAGGTGCTAGTGCTAGTGGTGGAGCTTGAAGATGTTGAGCTTGAACTTGTCGACGTTGACGATGTTGATGAAGAGCTGCTGCTGGTGGAGCTGGTGCTGGTGCTAGATGTGGACGAGGATGTGCTTGAGGAAGATGTAGACGATGAAGAAGTTGAGGAGGTGGAAGTGCTACTGGTTGATGAGCTGCTGGATGAAGTTGACGTGCTACTGGTTGATGTTGACGAGGATGATGTGCTACTTGATGATGTTGTGGTTGAAGACGTGCTGCTGGAAGATGTAGAGCTGGATGATGTAGACGTTGTGCTGGTGCTGGTTGTCGATGTAGTAGTTGTAGTACTAGATGTTGTTGTGGTAGAAGTCGACGTGCTGGAAGAAGTTGAGGTGCTGCTGGTCGTTGAAGATGTAGAGCTGGTAGATGTCGATGTTGTTGATGTGCTACTAGATGATGATGATGTAGAAGATGTTGAACTGGAAGATGATGATGTGCTAGTGGTGCTCGTAGATGACGAGGTCGTGCTGCTGGTGGATGAAGAGGACGTTGAGCTGGATGTCGTAGAAGTGGAAGAGCTCGAGGATGATGTGCTGCTTGTAGAAGAGCTACTTGTGCTTGAAGTGGAGGAGGTGGTACTAGAAGTGGAAGTGGAAGATGATGATGTTGAGGAGGTTGACGAACTGGAAGTGGACGTGCTGCTAGATGAGGTCGTGGTACTGCTTGAGGAAGAACTGGAGGTAGAGGTAGTCGTAGTGCTGCTGGTCGTGCTCGAAGATGAAGAGGATGTTGTGGAAGTAGTTGTTGTGGATGTTGAAGAGGTCGTTGAAGATGATGTTGTGGTAGAAGAAGTGCTGGTAGAAGAAGTGCTGGTAGAAGTGCTACTGGTGGAAGATGTGGTGGTGCTGGTGGTCGAAGAGCTGGATGTAGAAGTTGAGCTTGAAGTGCTTGACGTTGTGGAGGTCGTTGTTGAAGTTGATGTGGTCGTGCTGCTTGTAGAGCTTGATGTGGACGTCGTGGAACTTGAAGTTGTAGAAGTAGAAGTTGTTGAGGAAGAAGTGCTTGAAGACGAGCTTGTGGATGACGAGGTTGACGTGCTTGACGAGGATGATGTAGAGGATGAAGACGTGGAGGTCGTTGAAGTGCTGGATGTGGTGGTGCTGCTCGTGGTTGTGCTGCTGGACGTTGAGGAAGTGGTGCTGCTTGAAGATGTGGTGGTGCTGGATGAGCTGCCTGCACTCCATTTGCGTTGAGCATGATTGCATATCTTACGAAGAGTTGTCGAAGTAGGTGCGAGCTGATTTACTTCAGTTGCTTGAATTCGAACTAAGCATGGGCTGTCAACGTAGTCATACAAAGGCCGTGCCCTACAAAGATCAGTCAAAATCCACAGCTTCGTGGCTCCAGATTCGAGTGTGAAGGGAGACGCAATGAATGTCACTTATCCCTAAGTTAAACCTGAACACGCAACCCTGAAGTCCTTTCATGGGCTCTCGCCGACAGCGCCTGCAGTACCCTCAGAAAGAAAACAACACATAAAAACGAAACTGGCAGCCCGTACACATGCTTCCGGTTGTGATCTGGGCATGCATCGGTGTATCCGATACTGTTTCCCGTCTCTTGGGCCAAATAGGCCAGCACCAAACCAGAACCAAATATTGGGGGTAAACATGCATGTGTTGCGCTTGGAGGTTTCAGGCACAAACGCCGAACGCCAAAACATGCTACGAACAAGAGGTCCGCATCATCTTCTGGATTTCGGCAATCCACCCCTCGCTTTTGCGCAGGTTTTAGCCTGGCTTAGTTCAGACACAAGAAAAAGCTGCTGGAAGCAGGCTAGGATCAGCCGGCGAAATCCGTGAGACAACGTTACAACAGTTTGCAGCAGTAATCAAATGCAGATGGGCTGCTTGTGGTTGTGCTCGAGGTACTGGATGTAGTGGATGTGGTGCTCGTTGTGCTGGATGTCGAGGTAGTCGATGTGGACGTCGAAGACGTACTACTGCTACTCGTGCTAGTTGAACTTGTTGACGTGGAACTGGTGGAAGTCGTTGAAGTCGAGGAGGAAGACGAGGAAGATGTTGAAGTAGTAGTGCTGCTTGTTGAAGAGCTAGACGTTGATGAGCTTGATGTAGAAGTTGTTGAGGAACTCGTTGTGGTTGTCGAAGAAGTTGAAGTTGTCGTTGTACTTGTGGTGCTTGATGTAGTACTGGAAGAGGAAGATGAAGTTGAGGACGAGCTGCTGCTTGTGCTGCTTGAAGACGTTGAAGATGAGGATGTGCTGCTTGAAGTTGTGGAAGTGGAAGATGTGGTTGTGGTGCTGCTGCTTGTGGAAGAAGTGCTACTTGACGACGTGCTGGTGCTGCTGGTGGACGTTGTTGAAGAGGATGTAGTCGTGGATGAGGTGCTCGATGTTGAAGTGGAAGTGGTCGATGTGGTCGAAGTTGATGTTGACGTTGAAGATGAAGATGTTGTACTGCTGCTTGTTGATGAAGTGGTGGAAGATGAAGTGCTCGAGGATGAGGTAGTCGAGCTGGATGTTGAAGTAGAACTGGAGGTTGTAGAAGTCGAAGATGTCGTTGTCGTCGAGCTTGAAGTTGTTGAAGAACTTGTGGAGCTGCTGCTTGTAGATGAAGTGGTTGAGGAGGAGCTGCTGGTGGATGAACTGCTAGTGGACGAGGTACTTGTTGATGTCGTGCTGGAGCTGCTAGAGGAAGTGGAAG